CTGGAAAGCAAATGCTGCAATTAGGAAGTTGAAGGCCACGCTGCCAAACCCGTAACGTTTCAGGAAGGTCATCAAGAAGCCGAAGCCGATGAAGATCATGGTGTGGACATCCTGGAAACCTGGGGAAACATAGCACATGGATTTGATCATGGAGGAGGCAGGCGGGGAGGGGGGAGGTACTCGTCAACAACATTTCTTAAATGTTTATTCCCCCCTCCCCCCAAAAAAACACCTTCAAGAGTTGATTGATTTTTGACACGCTCTAGGACAGTGTTTCTCAACCAGTGGTACGAGTACCCTTAGGGGAACTCAAGAGAAGTCTGGGGGGGTACGTCAATACAACTGAAATGTGGAGAAAACTGAATTTTTGTTGTAAGTTTTACAGCGCTTGATTATTTTTGTACTTTTTACACCCAAAAATTTAATCTCCCACTTGGCTACAATTAAGTTGTTTAAACGAATGTGTTGCAATGGTAGAAAAAAATTGTGTGTGTCTGAAAACTGTAGGTACTGGGGATACTTATATTTTTTTAAGGGGGTACTTTATAAAAAAAAGGTTGAGAAACACTGATCTAAGTTTGGTAAAATAAATAAATCCTCCAAACCAGGATGCGGGGAAATCCACACAAAAATTTTTGTTTCCTTAAAAAAAAAAAAAACTGAATTTGAGACTGCTTTGGAACTTCAAAAAGGTTTTGAACTTCTGTCAGGAGTAAGCGCCGGAGCATCTGCCCCTGAGGCTATACAAACACTGCAGGGCTAAGATAATGATCTCAGCACAAATGAGCTCAGCATTTCTCAGGACCCTTTCTTTCCCTCTCTGCTTTCAGAGGACCCAGACCAGCCCGGAGCACAAGAGCAGCCGAGCGACCTTGATGTGTCATATGGGCCCTTTCTCTGGCCCTGGCCCATGGACCAGTGACCCCGCTGGGTGGCTGCTCCGCAAACACTGGGACAGCGTGCCTCACCGCTTTGTTCCACCGCGGTTTAGGTAACATGTAAAATGCCGAGTCCTGACATTGAAGAGCCTGTGACACATTTTGCAAGAGCTCCGGGATGTGTCCTGGACAAATTCCAGCTGTAGCACCTTTCCCCACCCTCCTCACCTTGCAAAGAAGAAATAATTCCTTTTTCTGAAGGAAAGCATCAGAAGCTCAGTGCTCCCCCACAGAGCTGGCTGCATTTCAGTGGCAGAGGGAAGAGGGAGAGCGGGACAGGTGATCCCAGTTTTGTAAAGTGTTTTGGAATTCCGCAGGCTGGCTAGCGCTACTGAAACTAAAGGGCATGTCTACATGACAGCATTTTTTCGGAAAAACGGTGGTTTTTCAGAAAAAAAAGTCACTTACGTCCACACTGCAATTGCGTTCTTTCGGGGGAAAAAACCCATGAAAGGACAGGGTTTTTTTTCCGGCATTGGTAATCCTCTTTCTATGAGGAAGAAGCCTTTTTCCGAAAGAGCTCTTTCGGAAAAAGGTGTCTGTGGACGGGGAAGAGGGAGTTCTTTTGCATGAAGAGGAAAGAAGAAAAAGCACAGGTGCCCTGGTGACCATTCCATCCATAGTAATCACAGCTGACATGCGAGATAGCATCCATTCAGTGTGGACGCTATCTGTCAAAAAAGCAGAAGGCTGTTTCGATGCACTTTGGCTATGTGGATCCTCTCCTTCGGAAGAAATTTTTTCAGAAGATCTCTTCCGGAACAGCTTCTTCTGAAAGAAGCCTGCAGCCTAGACATAGCCTAAGTTTTGGTAAGAAGCATGATGAACAGCTTTGTACTGGAAGAGGTACATGGCCACAGAGAACCTGCAGGGATACAGACAGTAATTCGCAGCCTTCGCATAGTACCTTCCCTGCCTATGTCTCCCCTTACAACAGCAGGCATTGATACAGACCATTGCTAGTTCTCACAATTTTATCACAAGGCTAGTGGGGTGGGAGGTTGAAATCAAAACTGCTCCAAGCCCTCGCATTGGTGGAGAAAAGCTTGAAAGTGCACATGGCACAAAGTGCCTCTAGAAGGCTCAGAAACCAGGCAGAAAATAGAAATAACCTAGAGTGGGTTTTTTTGGTGTGTGTGTGGGGGCGGGGCTGTATATCTCACAATTTCATTATTTCTTCTGGGGCCTGAGCCATAATTTTTTGAACCCCCAAAATGTTGCCATTGCCTTCATTTTGCAAATGGGGAAACTGAGGCACAAAGCAGCGACAAGATTTGCTGAAGGCCAGACAGCAAGTTAATGGCTGAGCTAGGAAGGAAACTAAGTTCTCATTACTCTTCGTCTCTTACTCTACTCATTAGACCGTGTGGGCTGTTTTCCAGCTCTCTCGGTTGTGAATCCAGATGATGGGTTGAATCACCGAAATGCCCTTGAGGCTGTCCCCCGGTGTGCTGAGCATGCCACTGACACCCGCCTTCCTGCTCCTTAGGGCTCCCTAAGCCCTTCCAAAGCTGAACTGGGTCAGTGTCTGTTTGCCCTCTAGGAGGCTGGTCACCCCATCTCTGTACCTTGGCTAGGGGAGACCCGAACTTCTGGTCCAGAAGGACAAGGTGGTGGGGACGCCCAGAGGATAGGAAAGCAGGTATCAGGGGCATGATCGGCACATGGGGGGACAACTCCAAGGGGAGTCACCCTGTGTCAGTCCCCACTGACTCCGAGTAAACGATCGCCAGAAACGTGGCCTGCCACACCGACAGTGGAACCTGGGAGCCAAATGCAGGGAGCTCTGAAACCAGGGAGTCAAATGCAGCTAGGAGTACAAAGGTCGAGTGGTTGTCGGGCCTCTCCAGTTTTCATTCGCACCAGTGCAAAGCTCGTGCAACGCACGATGGGCCTGATTCTCAGTCCCACTGCTGAAGTCCCTCCGCACTGATCTGACAGCGAGAGCCCCCTTTTACGAGGCTGGAGCGGCCTAAAGGGGCCTTTGTGGGAATGAGAATCAAGGCATCTGCAGTCGGAGGGCGTAGAAAGGAGTGTTACTGACATGCCCGGGGGAGGGGACGTGGGTCTACAGCCGTGAACCAGAGAGCGATGCGAGTGCAGGCCTGCTGCGTTCTCTGAAATGAGCCTTCCCTCCCCCTTCGCCACCCTCAGGTTCTGCCAGGTTCTTTGCCACCCCCCTTGTTCCAAAGGAGCTAACCCCCTGGGCGGGTGTCAACCGCCCTCGCTCCGCTGCAGTCAACGGGATGTCGCCGCTTCACGCCAGCACAGCACCTGGCCCTGCGTCTCGTCACCTCGCTGCTGCCAGCATATGGAGCTAACACTCGGCGCTGGCACATCACAGGTACAGGGCCTCGCTTGCTAATGGCCTCCAGCCGCGAGGCAGCGAAAGCGACTCTGTAAATATAGACTCTGCAGACGCATGCTCGTGAGGCCGGTGGCGCGGTGCAGGAACAAAGCAAGGAGTCGGCCCGCATCCTGGGGAGTGGGTTACTCAGGTGTGAAATGGGTGTGGAACGGCACCTGGACGGTTCTCCTTTACCCATTACACTGCTCTGGCCGGTGTTAAAGGGGAAGTAGATTAATTACACACCAGTTAAGATCCTGCTTCCCCTGCCAGAGCTGTGTAAGCAGCCATGTAGAAATCAGAGTTGGGGAGCCCTTTTTGAGTCGGGGGCCGCTGACCTATAGAATAATCAGTCGGGGGATGCACACAAGAGAGAAGCCGCCGGGCCTTTAGTTCCTAGGGTTGCCAGGTGTCCGGTTTTCTCCCGGACAGCCTAGTAATTGCGTCTTCTGTCCGGCAAAAAAGCCCCTGAAAATACCGGACATGTAAAATGTCCAGTATTTTCTGTTTCTTTTGGACGGAAGGCCGGTGGGGCCATTTTCCCCCTGCTGCATCTGGTGGAGGCAGAGGAAGCAGGTGAGAATTTAAAGACGCAGCATCCTTTTTTTTTTTTTTTCTCAAACAATTTTCTCCCCTGCTGTGTTCAGGATTTTTTGTGAAGGTATCTGGCAAGCCTGCCTTCTTCATCTCAGTGGGCTGCAAGATTGTCGTAACCAAGACAATATCCTGGGACAGGGTCCTATTGCTCACTGCACTTGCATGCCTAAAATGTGGGGGGGGTGCCGATGGAACTGTAGCTGCACCGTGATTGGCTGCAGAGGGAGCGCACGGCTCTCACAGTCAGTGCTGTGTGCAATCCGCCCGCCCCTCCCTTCACCAGCGGACTCTGGCAACCCTGCACATGAGCAACGGTCAAGCAAACGTCTCGTGGGCCACACATAGAACCCTGACGGGCCACATGCAGCCCTCAAGCCTCAAGCTGTCATCCATTGGCCTGACCCCTGCTGTGAGGGAGGTAGGTGGACAGAAGCAATCTCCTGTCCATCTATCCATGGCCTCTTGGAGAGACGGATTATCTCCACCAAGAAAATCCCCTTGCATGGATGCAGGAAACATTCACACGCCAGTGGCGCAGCATAGATCTATGCCAGGCCCCATTCATTCCGGACAGGAAGTACGGGTCTCTCTGTGTTGAATGGGGAGAGAGCGGAGAGGGGAGGAGGAATTCGCTTTCAGCTCTGGGTGGAGTTCGAATTGGCAGGTGAAACAGGGAGAACCTGTTAAGCATCAGCCTCTGGCAGCCTGACTCGCTCCAGGTGCAGGGATGCCTTCACCAATGCGGCCTTCACCAGAGCCCAGCCCTCCTCTTGCGTAGGAATGGGCATGGATCGTGGGCTGTCGTGTGCCGATCCGCCCAGTAAGGGGAGTCCTAGAAAGCCCAAAAGTTCCCAAGACTGGTAAGATGCAGGGTTCCCTGCAAGCTTTTGGTTTTCTCCCTGGAGCATAGAATCAGAGAGCACTAGAACTGTGTGATGGGGCGTTGGGGTTTCCCCGTCTCCTGCACCCCCAGGCTGTGTCTACACTGGCCACTTATTCCAGAAAATCAGTCGCTTTTCCGGAATGACTTGCCAGCTGTCACTGGCAAGTTATTCCGGAAAATCAGCCGCTTTTCCGGAAAAACTTGCCAGCTGTCTACACTGGCCGCTTGAATTTCCGGAAAAGCACTGAGGATCTAATGTAAAATCATCAGTGCGTTTCCGGAAAAACTATGCTGCTCCCGTTCGGGCAAAAGTCTTTTTCCGGAAAACTGTTCAGGAAAAGGGCCAGTGTAGCC